AATATGCGTTTTTGCTGCCTGTTGCAGCGCTCTAGCGCTGCACGGCAAAAACGCATAAAAACGAGGTGGCAACATTCCAAGTGGTTTTATCGGCAAGAAATTGTACTGAAAGAGCCGAATAATCCTGTTTTCCATTTAGTGTGCACTTGTCTATAACTCTGTACTTTTTAAAAGGGTAAAAAGAGCAATATGGAAAAAAATGTCAAATTTTCTGAAATTTAGCTTTTTCTTCGTATGTTCATTGCAGATACATGAAAAAATCTTATAGTTGGTTAGTTGCAGCACCTTTCTGATGGCCAATAATTTTTTCTACCCTTTCACACATACCACTGCTTTATGGGCTGTAATGACTTCATGGAACTGCCCTATAGCTGTTCGTTAATAGGTTGAAATTCTGGGTCCTGTGTCAAAACAGGATATGCTAATTCATGCTCCAATGAAGTCCGTTTCAAGGAAACAGTTTTCAGCGGGATCCTATGCACATTTAAGCTAGCAAAAGTAGATACGCTACTTTGAAAGATCATTCTCTCTTTCTAACGCCCTTTATAATGAACGGTAAATCCCTAGATAACTGCGAATATTTACATCATTTAGATATATTTGGCTAATTATTACTTCAGTCTTGTGATTCCAGTCTCTACCCGATGTAATTAGCAGTTTTTTATTTCTCCTTATTTTTAAGCTAACCGTATCTAAAGTTTTGTAAGTATTCAGTTATCAAATTATATGACCAAACAAATGTTAGGCTCCTCGAACTTTCACACCTGCTTCTACTCCAAACCACGCCCTTCAGCAAGAGTAAGCTCGGTTAGAACCGGTCTCTACAACAAAGGGTCACGGAATCGAAACGAAGAGTATGCCAATATACGAACCGAAACAAGCGGCAGAACGGGGTTGTACAATAAAGGAAGTACAGGAATGCCAATAAAAACTGGTGAAATACTGGGCATGGATGTAACAACCAGTTTGAGTCCCAGTAAGCTTTTCACCTTTAAAATCCTCATTTTAATAGTTCAAGACTGTTTTCTTCTATTGTCACCGTTTATTCATTTAAAAAAAAAAAAAAGTTTCTGAACTGTGGACGAATACGGCGCAGTGGCAGTGAGCACTGTTCTCGTGTTGAATTTCGAGGGTTCTACTCTACAAGTGGAACAACCAATGCCTTTACTATTCTTTCATTCGCTTCGATAGTTGCTGCTGATGTATGACAGCGAGTCAACCCCGCTATTAGCTTACTTTTAAGCAGTTCTCGAAAACAGAAACCATCAACAACAGCCCTGTCCGCTGGTGACTGTTGTAAACACTCGCAGCCATTTGGATTACTGTCGAGTAGATTTGCTTCACACAGAAAGTGAATACGGCGGAGGTTTTGATTTCTGAATGATAACCATAATTTTCGGCATGTGAACTTAACTACCTCAATTTTTCTAATGTTATATCCAGTATAGTTTTCCGCTGTCAATTCTTTTTTCAATATGATTAATCTGTAACATAGGCTCAGAAAGCTTTGCAGGTAGCACCGATTTGCGCAAAAAACGTAAACCGCTGAAGCCGTCAATAGAAATACAGTTGGAAAAGGCAGCTGAAATGCTGGATGTGAACAGAACCTCAACACCAAAAACAGGTATTATTTCACCCCATGATATTTTTGCTTCTACAAGCAGGTGTGGTCTGCGGACTCAGTCTGACGCTGTTTTTCTGGGGTCAAAGTGCAGAGAGTTAGAAATTCGAATTTGGGAAATTTTAGCTCACATTCCCCACCCCCCTTTCGCCCCCGCCGATCACCCCGCTTTTCCTTTCTGGAGCTCAGACCGGTGTGGAAAGTGAAAAGAAGTATAATTAAGTAGAGGGATCAGTTCTGGCATATAAACTCTAAATCTCACTGGAAAACGAAAGAGCATAAAATCAAAGTTCAAACTGTTGGAACATTGTGTGAATGAGAAGTTATGCTAGTTATGCGTTTTTTATGCATTTTTGCATATATGCAAGTTGCAACCCAGGCTGGAACGCACCAGGCGAGCCGGTGCGA